TTTTTTTTTTTTAATGGAGCTTCAATTCGCCGAAAATTCACGAAAGATTTTTTTTTTTTTAATGGAACTTCAATTCGCCAAAAATCGAACAAAAGACACAAAAATATGTTTGTGGAACAAAATTCGCAGGCGCAGTCGGTCTGGGGGGGGGTTTGTGGTTGGGTTATATCAACCTAAAAACGGATTTTGAAAATCCGTTTTTATCGTTTTTAGTTAAACACGGATTTTCAAAATCCGTTTTAATCGTTTTTTTTTTTCCCGCTAAACACGGATTTCCAAAATCCGTGTTATAAATTAAAAAAAATCCGGATTAAATTTGACCGTTGACATAAAAAATAAAAAATAAAAAAATAAAAAAAAAGAAACACGGATTATGAAAATCCGTGTTTGTATTAAAAATTTAATTAGAAACACGGATTTTCAAAATCCGTGTGTTTGATTGATTTCCACCAATTTTTTTTTTTTTATTTTTTTCCACAGATTTTTGTTTTTTTTCAAATAAATAATGCACCCGGTAATAGGACTAGAAAGGGGTTTTCTTTTTTGTAGGGTTCCTATCCAAGATCTGCAAAAATCTTGATCAGCCATGGAAAATCAGTCAGCGCAAAGAGAAAAATCTTGTCCCAACTCCGGTGACGGCAGAATCTCCGAACTTCCACAACCCTTATTGCACAACATTCTCGCTTTCCTCTCCCAAAAGGACGCGACAAAAACTTGCATTTTGTCCAAATCATGGCGTTCTATTGGCCCTACTCGCCCCAAAATTGAGTTTAATGAAATGTGCTACGAAGGGAACCATAAAAAGTTCCTGTCCAATTTGGACAGTACGCTACAAATTTACCATGGCCGGGAGATTTGCTTGCAAGAATTCATATTGTGTGTAAGAAAAATTAATAGTAATTCTGTTTCTCTTCTTAAAAAATGGGTCCCGATCGTCTTGCTCGATATGGGCGTTAAGAGGTTGCATCTGATTTCCATCTCGAGGTACTTTGCTTTGCCATCGATCTCTTTGAAGCTGAAACCCTTGAGGAATTGCATCTCAAGAGATGTAGAATTGATTCTGTTGAGAAAGTACTTTCATGGCATCTGCGTAAAGTTTCTTTCTTTGAGGTCTACATTACAGAAGAACATTTGCGGAAAATAATCTCGAGTTGCCCCCTCATCGAATACTTGGCACTTGATGCATGTCGTGGTTTGAAAACAGTTGAGGTTCATAATCATAATCTCAAACACTTTGAATACAGTCATTCGTTGGACGGTTTGGAAGAAACTATCAAAATCGACGCCCCAAATATAGAGAGCATACGTATTGAGGGACGTGCGAGTTGGCCTCACAAAGGACGTGTCAGTTGGCTTCACAATGGGAAGACCTTCACGTGTCTCAAGTCTGTGCTTGTGAAAAATGTGGTGCTCACCCAAAAGGACTTCGATAGCTTCTCGGTTGATTTTTGCTGTCTTGAAGATTTGAAAATACACTTTTGCATCGGCTTTGAAGAATTCCAGCTCTCAAGCCGTTCGATTAAGCGGTTGTATCTTGCGGTGAATGGCCCCACCAAGGCAGCTATTGACCTCCCAAATATACTTTCTTTTGAATTGTTCTGTGGTGATTTCCCCTCAATCAAATTGACAACGAATTCCAGTGAGTGGAGGTCACTCATACTCTTGAAGCGTCATCTGATTACTCATAGTGAAACATCGTACTTTTATGTCAAGTTAAATGAACTGCTTAGGGCCATGAATCATTCTAGGATTGATCTGCACATGAGGGATTTTCCTCTGAAGGTACCACATGGTTGTGGGGGTTTTGGAGAAACTGCCGTGATCGAAAGCTTGGCTTTTTCTCACCGTCATCCTTGTTCTTCCCTTGAAGCTTTTTTTAATTATTTTTTTGGTAGCTTTCGGCCAAAATACATAGAACAGTCTTTCTATCCTCGCTCAAAGACTGAAGAGTTTGAAGATAGCATAGATGATTGGCGTGCATATAAAAAGGAGGCTGATCACTTCACCGATGATATTCCAACTGTTCCAGAGAGCTATCAGGATGGAGTAGCCAATGAACTCATTGATCGTTTGTGGATCTTCCTCATGAAGAAAGAAAGGGAGGACCGCATTTGGCAGCAGGATTTAGAGGAAGTAAGTGTGGTGGCCTATGGTCGAAATGGAGTCGAATGGCGTTGTGTGCAAAGTGAGAATTTATCTCAATTGGCGTTGCCGAACAATGATGATCAAAAGATACGCTTTCAACTGAAATGGAGAGAGTGAGTCATCTTGCCTAGTTAGTTAGTATGAGTATGCATCGTTAACGCTTGAGATGCTTCTTTTGCAAGTAATTAGTTAAGTAACTTGTGGTTTTGGTAAGTAATTGTAATGCTTGTTTTGTAAGTAATTAGTTTAAGTGACTTGTGGCCTTGGCAAGTAATTGTAATGCCTGTTTTGTATTATCTACCGTATGGGGAATTGAACTTATGTGCTTGTTTTGTATTATCTACTGTGTGGAGACGAGAAATTAAGTTTCTAATTTTGTTGTTTGCTTTGCTTGCTCAGTTGTGGTTGGTGTTTTGCTCATGATAAAAATAGTTCCTTTTTTATTTAACTGATACTTTGCTTGTCGATTCTTCTGCTGGTTATGGAACATTGTTGAACATTAGAAAACATTATATAGCTAAATCGTCCCCAGCACAAAAAAGACTTAGCAACTGGGCACATTTTTTTAATACTTACACATTTTTTTTAATCAAAATGATGTCACCTTAAACAATTACAGAGTAAGCCTCTTTCTAATAAACTAAGAAAATAAGCAGTGGGCACATTAAACAAACATCCCCAAGTCTTCCAGCTAAAAATGACTATTGACTACCCAGTTACCATCTCAAAGGATTTAAAGAGAAACCGTATAATCCCATAGTTGCCGTCTCAAAGGATTTGAAGAAAAACTGTATAAACCCCATATAACATACTCCTGCCTTTTCGCACACCAAATAGCTCATATATGTGCCTTTCTCGTCCAACAGGCACGCGTAACTGCTTTCTCAATATATGTGTATCACACCACTTGAAGTTTCAGCAAAAACTTATGTAGTAAGGATTTCTGGACTAAGGGGTTCATCATCTTTCAAATCTGACTTGAAACAATAGGAATTGCTTCTTCCATGTTCTCAATCCCACTCAAACATGGGGGCTTGGCTGCTCCATAGTAATAGAATGCCATTATCTTGGACAACTCATCAGCTGTCTTGATTGCTGAACACCAAGTAATAGGAAGTTAACCCAAAAAACAAAAATAGCTTTCTGATGGTAAATGAATAATTGATACAAATATAAAATGTTACCTTTCTCACGGTAGAGAATTTTCCCTGCTTTAGTGAAAATGAGCTCTGGAAAAACAGAAACTTGTAGAGCAGAGACCAAATCATGCTCTGTGTTGGCATCTATTGCAACACACTGTTTGCTAATGCCCGTCAGTAGTGTGTAAATAATGGATGGCAAATATATACTTATATAAGTGTGTGTGTGTGATACTAAGGATGAAATTTTAACTTACTCTTGGAGATGGTAGCCTGCAGTTCCATATAATATGCACAGCCTTCTCGAGTTCATCTCGGATCCTTTCATTCTCCTTTGGCCTGAAGATATTCAACAACAATTTTATGAACATAAAATGTGCAGTGGGCCAGATTAACTTTAAGAAACTTGCTCACCCGAGGTCTATTTTATGTTGTTTTGTAGAAAAGTTGTGAAATTATCAAATTACACATGAATAAGAAAGGAAACTAGAGCTGAAGATAATTTTTTCTTCTTTTTTCTTTTTCAAATCATTACCAATGGATGGCTGATAATAACTAAAGAATTAGTAGAACTTATATGTTGATAAGAAGTTTAAGCAGGGTTTTTTTGGGGGTCGCATCTTGAACAAATTCAAAAGTTTAAAGGTTAATTCTGGATAACCACAAGTTGAAAACTCAACCTTTCCCTTAACAAAATTATAGATACATGCCTGAAATGAGATTGGAATGAAATAATAATAATAATAATAATAATAATAATAATAATAATAATAATAACAATAATAAACAGTGGTTATAAAATAAATTAAGATCAGCAATTTATCTTATTCTGAATGCCAACAAGCAACAATTTTATTCAGTGGTGCAGAATTACTTGAGCGTTAATTATCAGAACCTGGTCGAAATCTGCAAGAAGAAACAGCTCTAAAAAAAAAAAGAAACAGTCTCAACAACTCATCAAGCTAATGCACACAATTAGTGATATCAATCACATGTCTCGCAACACTTCCAACTCATAAACTCCAACACTTATTTAAAAACATTTTCTTGTATTCTACACATATAACCATTTGATTTGGAAGGGCAATAGCTCCATTCTAACCGACCGATATTTCATATAGATTTCATGGATTTAATTTTCTCATTGAACATGTAGCAAACATACAGCACATGGTAAGATTAATTCATAATATCCAAAATCTATATTCCATCAGCAACTTCAGAAACCAGAAGGGAATCGCTGTAAATCATACTTTCTCTTGAAGGAAATTGCATAAGCATTAGCACACAACATAAATCTGAGTCAGGGAAAATGGTGCAGGAAGCATTTAAAAGAAAAACCATAATATGAGATGATATTTGCAAGCAACGGCATATACCGACTTAAAACAAGATACAAGCAAGCATGAAAATAAAGAATACATATACAAAGAAACAAAACAACCAGAAGTACCTTTTGTAACGGTTATGAACAAGAACCACTAAAGGGCTGAAGTCCTTAAACACAGCCTCCTCCCATTCTATAGTGGTTAAGTCTTTGATTGGACGAATATAATCATCATCCCGCCACACTATCTCATTCTCACTATCATAATCCTCATCATCCACATCCTTCTTAACATTTTTTATGCTAATCTTGTTGAAAAACTGACCCAAATTGAAACCCCACCCATCAGCATCCTCCGGCCAATCAGGATCCTCCTCATCAACCACAAGAGGATATTCGGCTAGAAGCTTTTGCATTTTTTTCCGCTTCTCGACAAGATCAATCTCCTCTTCAACATCATCTGGAACTCGACTCATCACCTCTCTAATCTTTTTTCTCCACTCCTTTCTCTCATCCTCATTCATAACAAAAGGATTCTCATTTCCATCCTTACCAACACTCCCACTTGATTTTTCTTCGTCCTCATCATCATCCTCATCCCCCTTGCCAAACCTCAGTAGTTCTTCGATTTTGGAAATGTTTACTCGACTTCCTTTCCTACCAAAACCTCTCTGTTTCATATCATACACAGGTTTGAAATGAAGTATAAGCATATTCATTACTAATTACTGAAATTTACTATCAACTATCGTTTTAAGGCAAAAACGTACCATTGTCATTGGGTTCATGAGTTTTTGTTGGGAGAAGCAAAAATGCCCAAAACTCGAGGATACTGTACAGCTTTGCTGATTGTTTCTCCAACCCAAAGGTGCAGGAGAAAACCAAGAAAATTTTATAATAGAATTTTCGTTCATCTTGAATTGCACCCCGATAGTGTTCTGAAGTAGCTCCATTTCCTGCATACCCATTAAAAACTGAAGCTTTTCAATTCTTGACATTCATAACCAGAGGAATACTCCAGTGAAATCGAAAATCTCTTAAATATTACTTCAAATAAGTAAACTTTCAGACATAGGCTGAGTCTCAAATACTGCCTCTTACATTTGTGAAACCCACAATTCTATATTATCTGAACAGGAAACCACAGAACAAAAAAAGCACCTATTGAAGAGTTCTTGCTGCGTGAATAAAACCATCAGTGACTGTGATTACATAT